TGGGGTTAAAACGAGTTAAGCAATGAGGAGTGTTAGGAGTATTTGTGCTGGCCATGTGCTAATAAAAATTACGATTTAGTATTATTTTGGATTCGAACGCAAGAAATTTTCCAACAAAAATAATTAAGAATGGAAAAAAGAAGACAGTGTTATTTTGTCAATGCCATTGTTAGCCACACCTGTTTATTCTTAAATAGATGCTAACCTTTCATTTTCCTGCTGCCAACACCTTCGATCTGGGACCAGAAGGTACCATGTTGGGGCAGTGAATGAAAGATAGTGACACAGTTGGCATACGACTTTGGCACTTTCAATACTTTTAGAAGTTTTTACAAAATTCTCGTTTAAATGGATTATACATATTGCTTACGCAACAGCGGCGACAATGGAAACTTAAAAGAAAAACTGAATGGAATGCGATCCGATTTAACATTGCTGAAAGAAAAACTCTATCTAGAAAAACTCTATCTAGAAAAAGCGCTATTAGCAAAGCAACAGCAGGAACAAGCAGACCGTCAATCCTGTGGATTCAAACAATCCGACTATCAGGTAACAATTTTTATATTCGCTCTTGCAAACATTTCAAATCGTTTCGATCGTAGCAATACACAAAATATACAATTTTCCTTTATTGATGAAGAAAACATTTACCGGATAATAATACCGTGCGAAACGCGATACCTACTTTTCGTCCTTTACAAACCTTAGATAATTCCCTAAGGCTCTTAGTCTTATAAATCTTGCGGCGCTCTCGGAAACCGCCCTTAGCAGGGATGAGTCCTTCATATGTCGGATACGCATCCTTAACATCGCCGGCGTTGGAGCAATCGCTTCAACTTTTATTTAATTTTTATGGCTCGGCAATTTTATAGCAAAGCTTAAATCCTGTCGTTTATAGGTAGCTCAAAAGTAGCCAAAATTGTTTTTATTTTGATGTATCTACAAGATTACTGGGAGAAAGTAGGAAACGATTCCGGACAATTCTTGAATTAGGACTAAATCTGCGAATTTATGTGCCTTTTAAATTTGCAAAATTTAAATGCTCTCAAACGCTTTGCGTTAAAATACTGACCATCTAAAGGCATTTTCTGAGAAAAATTATCAAATAAATTTTTGCTAAAACACTTGCCTCCTTCGTCGCTTTGCAAAAAGTTTTGAAACCCGTTTCGAGCTTCAAATTTGGGACAGAAAGCAAATAATTTTTAATCAAAAAACGAACAAAATCAGCGAAAGTTTATAATAATACAATATTTGGAAAACTCTTGGAAACTGGCAAAATACTGGCAATCTTTTATGCAACAAAATTAAGAGATCATTATTAAGAGAAAATTAAGAGATTTTTTGCAGGAAAACTCGTCGACTTTCTAGATGACTTTTTTAAATTGTTTGAACAAAGTAGTAAAACGTTTCTCAGAAAAAATATTGATGACTTTTTTTAGATGTGAACATTCCAGTCTCTGGTCTCGTAAAGAAACCCAGTTTTTTCAAATGCGCCAATGAATTCGCGCATTTTTTTTTTCATAGCATATTTGCCTTGAGTTGAGTGCTTCCACGGGACAATTTCTAACTTGGATAGTTCAGCCCATAGTAGGAAAACTTTGTATTAACGCGAAGAATGTTGTGAAATGAAGGGTTCGGTTGGTTGAGGATTCTTTGAGGTTGTTTTTCTTGTTTGAAGGCTTCAAGCGCCACACATTTACTGTCAGGCTTTTATACTAAAGGGAAACAATTATGTATAAAATTGGCGAACTTTGACTCAAGCAAGCAACAAATACCTAACCCAAGCGAGCTCTTCCAAATGTCCTTAATCTCTCGTATAAAACAGGACGATCAAACATCGCCACATTCGCTAGAAGATCGTTTGTTTCCTCACTTGAGAATATCGAAAAAGTCTTATTATATCGAAGATTTGATCGATTTAAAGTGGTTACTTCACAAGCAAGATAGTAGCGTCTATTTAAGTACATTTGCATTTTTGAAGAGCACACTTTAACAACTGTGGTCTTTCAGTTTTTTGACTGATTTTTTTTGCTTTACTTTCTACTCAAAAACGATCTATTTTGAAGAGTTTCACTTAGAAATACTGACAATCTGGAATTCTTTTACGCGAAAAATTACATATAAATTTCGAGCTTTGTAGGAATTTTACAAAAACTTTTTTCAGGGTCGAATTCGGGACGAAAACGAAAATACATTTCTCCCGTTTTGTTCGAAAATCATTAAGGTTTTCTCAAAAACCGTTTACAAAACTTAAAGTTTTTAATCAAAAGCGTAAAAACATTACTTTCTGATGCTTTTCTTCATTCTTGGCAAGCATGGGGTCTAGTCAGCGAAAAATTATAAAATTAACTTTTTGACAAAATATGATGATGAAATACTGCTTGATTTTTTTATTTGAATTGAGATGTTAAGTGAATCATTTCCACGAATAATTGATAATAGTCGTAAGAACAAAGGTTATGAGAAAAGTTTTTAATAAACATGAACTTAAATTAAAAGTTTGTCGTGTCAAAAAGTAACAGGTTTTRTATTTGWTTATTATGGACAGAAATCGTCTGTTTTTCAGTTATGTTTTAGAACCGTTAAACTTACAGGTACCATGGTTCTTCTACAATTTTTGCTCTAAGAAACTTCGTATAAATTGATGGAACTCATGTGATAAAATTTTTCCTTTTATCAATTATTCTTAAAGACAGGCATCTTGATGTCAGTGGTCCCACTTTGAGATTTGATGTTTTGCTTTGTTGAGTTTTCGTTTGCGGACATAGAGGGGCGATAGTAAACGCGCTAACCGACCTTTTTTGTCTTGAATTAAGAAGATATATTATTTACTTGTGAGCTTTACGATAATATCCTGCCGATCCCTGTATTTTCCGTTTTCGTGTGCTTTCGTTGATAACTGTTTGAGCCGATGTTTTTGTCTCTGAGACATTAAAAACTGCTTATCGTTTTTGCCAGAGTATCAACATTCCTTTCTTATTGAGCGAGTTATATGAAATGGTTTTAGGAAACGAGCGAATGTGGAAGTTATTCAAGGTTTTGTTTGATTTTGAACAGAAAGCATCGTGGAAAGCTATATTTTCACAAGTTACATTCTGAACATGGTTTGTCGTTGCTTTTATGACTCGCCTGACAAAAATTATGTTTAATTTTGCTCGAATTTGCTATCCGATTATCCTCGCTAATTGTTAGATGATGTTGCGCCTTTTTGTCTTAGCACCAAAAAACGTTCTTTTCACTCATTGAGAAATCTTGGCAAAGTCAATTTTATACTTTTGTCCAAAAGTTTCGCTCCGGTCTAAACATTAGTTACCTAAAACCAGATGTAATGAATACTGCTAATGGCAGCCCAAAAAGTTGATTTGCCAGGGCACAATTTTCCGTTTAGAGATAAATAAAACAGTGGCTGTGAGAAAATATTCCATTTTATTATTTTTGGTTACTGACCTGCTTGTACATTTAATAATATTGAAAGCGTCGCTTGTTGATAACCGTAATGCTAATTAGAAAAATATACCTACCTGTTGAAGTGCTTGAGCTAATAGGCCAATGAATAGCAGCAAGAAAACACAATTTTTCACATTTAGTGTTCACATTTAGTCAGGCAAAACATTTTTTGTTATATTTTCAAGGTCCATTAAATCAACTTTAAAGGTACAACACGAATTTACTGTCATTGAGTTTTTTATAATTTCAAGCTTTTTGCACATAAATCAGAACGGCAAAGCAATAGGAGTGAACCGGCAATTTTGATGAATAAAACGTACCTGCGGGATATCGAAAAGAAATGCGATAACGAATTGAAGAAGCTTAATGACTACGTATTCAATATAAATGAGTTGAGAAGTACCTGGTAAGACTCCATTTATTGTATAACACAAACCCACAGTTTTTTTCATTTTACTGTATTTGCATTATTTAATATCTACATTTGCCAACGCGGATTTCTGATTAATTATTTCACACCTAATTTATTTTTCAGTTAGTCGAGAAGTGTTGTCTCTTATCCACACTGTTATATTATATTAGTTTATATATTGTTGTTTTGCAGACGATAATAAAATAATTTGATAATGAGATTAGAGTGAGACTAAAAAAATATTTTGAAAAGCTTTCATAAAAACAGCACTAGTTGTAAAAAAATAGTTAATATTCAGAATCCAGACATCTGGAAAGTAATCCTACAATATTTGATACATTTTGACATAATAAATTTCTTGATGTGAATATGGCGCAAAAACTATGCCTATTTTCTAAGCTACCTACACCTTACTGGAAAAAAATTAATATATCCTTGAGCTTATTTCAGATCATTGACTTTAATAAAACGAATTGGCGTTTCTAGATGCCGGAAGCACAAAAAATTAATAACAGCATTATACTCAATTTATCTGGAAAATCTTTCTATTTCGCAGGATAAAAATGAGAAGAGCGCAGAGACTCAATTTGGCGAATGCCGAGAATCCGGAAAAGGAGATTTCGAGCTTATCGGTACCTAGACAATATCTAAAAGGAAAAGTGTTTTATATAGATAGCGACCAGTACTAGACAATCTGTATCTTGTTTTTCACAACTCGTTTTTCTTTCGCTTTTAATCAACTTTTGTGTCATTAAATATTATCCAAAAAGTTCACTTGGAATTTCTGTCGCGCAACCCTTTTGGGATTCACCACATTTATTGCGATAGTAGAAAATTGTGTTCACGTAAGTTGTCATCGTAATTCGAACAAATGGAAGTTGCCGCTGTGCGATACCATAAACCCATTTGCTTCTAATTTAAATATGAAATTCACGCTTATTTTACTAAACACTGACTTGATTGTGGTCATATTATTCTATGAATAATTTAGGGTTTATCAAGCCTACGAATTGGTACTTTGCATCAGCACTAATGATTTTTAATACGAAGTACTTTGCGGACAGATTACTTACCAGGGGAACAATTAGTGAGCTGTTAAGGTTACCGATCGATGTTTTAATGCACTCGCTTCTAACGCCATGTTTTGTTTGGAGTTTGCGACTGTATTGAACTAACAAACTCCCAGCTTTAATTAGTATTTATCTAGTGCTAATAAATACTGATTATCGATCGTCTTATAGCAAACTTATTAGCTGTAGTATTTACCTACCTCAACCGTTTTTGATATACAAGGTGATTCAAAATTAGCGTCATTCCTCTGGGGGTGCTTTACGAATTTAGGAATACAGAAAGTTGTTATTAAAAACTGAGAAATTTGCAAAAAACTATATCAGAAAGACGACAACAATGTATTACAAGGTAATCTGCTTAATTAACATTACGTAGGTAATTACCTGCTATTAAAAACTCCGGTAACCATGGAAAAACACAGAGAGTAACAAGAAAATATGTAAGGATAAACGGCAAACTCAACAGGATTCATTAATTGTAGCAATCTAATTTTTCTGCAGAAATGTCAATATTGTCAACGATAAATTCTTCTTTATTGTCACCATAACCTCGAATTGATGTGTACACAAATAAACGGTCGTTTGTGTCTGTGTAATCACTTTATTGTGCACTGTTCTCGAGCAGCTTCTCGCATTTAGTTAATTAACTCCTACTAAATTTGTACGGGTCGTTCAGTAGAGGATGACTGTGCCCTTATTTTTTGTGTATCTTACATACGTGGTAGGAATGTATCAGTTACTCGGTACTTATTTGGTGCATATATATATAAATATGTATAAACAAAAACGTGAATTTTTCGGTCATTTTATTATAAACACCGGAAGAGATCCAACCTCGCCATGAGTTGATGTTTTGACTTTAAGTACAAGTAATATGTTTCGAGAAAATGTTATTCGAAACATTATGTCAAAGAATATAATGCTTCAACAATAACGGAAAATTAGTACAAAACGCTATATGAAATATTCAGCTCATTAGATGCATTCGGAATACAAAAATGTTCATGCGTGACATATGTGGATTAAGCGAATTCAAGGAAATAACGTTTCCAGGTACTTATAATATATATTACACTAATAAATTCACCTAAAAACTTATGTGAGTAGTAAAAATCAACAAAAACAGCTTCGTACGCGTTCTGGACGAAACCCATCAAAATATTTACGTGTTATTTTAAGGGCTTGGGTCACCAAAATGTTGTAAAAGATATTCAACGGGAGCTGTTTATTTCCCTCAGGAGCTATTTAGAAAATTGGGTGTTTTAGGCACTTCCCTGCGTTCAATAAGTTTATTAAATCAGATTTATTACGTTTTTCAAGTATACTTATGTTTCAAGAAGTTTGTGAGATTTGCTTATTAAAATAGGGTGATTCAAAATTTGCCTCAATCCTTTTAAGGGGCTATATGGCTGACTTAAAGAGTACGAGAAAAAAATATATATAAGTACAGATCTACCGACACGACATTTCATAAATTTATGTTAACAACGCGAGCACAACTAGGGACTAACGCCCTCATTGTGAAACTACATGATCCTCGAAAGATTTTTGCATTCATGTGTTATAAACAGTCAATTTACATCCCTCCCGCGATTTCTGCTACGAGCTACACCTCAAGACATTGTTTGGCACGCATTCGATATTCATTGCCAAGCAAATCTGACACTTTCCTTTCTCCTGAACCTTTTGCGCTCATAAAATTGATATTGCAATAGCCCTCGTTGAGAGAGTAGCTGGAATAAGTTTACATTACCTACAAATCCATGCGAAAAATTGCCTCAAACCCCAGTTGGTGAGCATTGACCCTAAAAACGCAAATATGTGTCTCAGTTTTAAAACTAACTTCTTTAATACTAGAAAAAAAAATTCTCAAACGTAAAACCAGGGGTTCAAGTGGAAATTTTTATACTGAAAAGGCTTAGAAGTAAGATCAGAAGCTATGCAAAGAAGTAGATAAGCAGTAATAGAAAAGCTTCCCATAATACGAAATGGATAACCGTAAAAATTGTGACCCACTTTCATCTTTAGCGTATCCTTTCCCCAAGTAATTTGAATATATGGATAAGGGCCAAGCTTGCCCTCACTTTCGACTTCTTTGAAACCCATCAATAGGAAATGCTTTTTCCGTATACGTAAATAAATTGGTCAAGACAGCTATGCATATACAGGGTGTCAATTCCGAAACTTTCCAAGCTTAATATCTTTCTTGCAGTTGAAAATATGACAAATCGGAAAGACCCGTCAATTTTATTTGTAGGTAAAGGGGATACTTTAAAATTCCTTAAACGGAATATTTTTAGCCTCCTTGTTTAAACCCCCCAGGGCAGGTAGAGGTATCCCTTAGAATATTAAATGGGAAGGGGGGTCAAGTGGCACATCGTTTTAAAAGGCGTTCAATTATCTTTACATTAGTTATTACTTTGTTGCTTTTTGTCCAGAGGTTTCCAAGTAATCGCGTTTCAAAGTTGTAGAAACAATCGACATACATAGCAGAAGCTGTAAGAACTTTTGCCCACAAAGGGCCAGAAGCCTAGGATTATGTTCCCTTTTGAGAAACTCGTTAAAAGTCGTTTATCTAGCCAAATATCAATACAAGGTTTCTTGTTTTCGCTTTTTTATCCGAGTCTGAACGAACGACCTTGTCTTGCGGAAGAGTCCCGATCCATCACTTCTCTTTGCTGTTTCATACAAACCCAGACTTAAAGTGGGTGCTATTTTAAATTCATTTTCAATGTTCAGTATTGAAACAGGATCCCTCTCTACTTTGAAAAGTCGCTCCCCAACTCATAAACAGGCAAATACAATATCTAGTGTCCATACAAGGTCACCAGCCTGCTTTTTTTCTCAGCTAGATCGGTCAAGCAACCCAGCACGAGGGTTGCTCGGCGTCTGTTTCTTTTTCCTAGCGTCTGTAATCCAGACATTTTTAGAAGAGGAGATTTTCATTAAATAAAATTTCAATGGTGTCTCGTCTATCAAGTCGCTAAGCTTTTTGCTGCTTTTTCAAATACGCAAATATATTTTAACGTGTAATATAAAACCTAGATCAGAAGGATGGCATCAATGTTTTTCAAATCTGCCTAATTAACATTACGTAAATACCTGTTGCTTTTTAATAACATTAGGTTAGGAGAACGTTGTTGCTTTTTCGTTAGTGCTGCCAACCTTTTTGGGGCAAATGATTGATTTACCTAGATTGGTCACAGCTGTCATCAGAAACGTCCTGTTAAAGGTTATGTATCAATGATCAATAGCGATCAAATAAAACACAATTAAGTTGCTAAATCAGGAGAGATGTTCGAAGTTCTTTTAATTTTTTCAATTTACAATAATTGAGGTTTATCGGCTGTAAGCCAATCCAAATAAAAATGCACAAAAATGTAACGAATATTTCAATTTATTATGAAACTAATTTCTTCCACAAAAAAATGTATAATTAGACAGCAACATTCTTGTTTTTACGCCTTTTTAAGATTTAATTGCTAGTCTGGTCTAGATATTTTTCAAACGAAAGCGCAGGTGTAAGTTTTTGAATTTTAATCCCGCTTAAATGATCGGATTTTACTAAAGTTGTGATTTTACTAAGAGAAGTGAAGCGGCAACTGAATGGTGGTAATATAATTTCTTTGAATAAGCGATGCGGTTATGGTGTGCACTTTAATATATTTTGTTATAAAAAACAGTAATATTAGTGAAACATTGCCGCAACTATTTAGTGGGCCATTAGAATAAACAAATTTAAACCAGATGTGCATACCATTATCACATGCATGAATCTATCTCAATTTTCACCTAACGACCAAATCTCATCAGGTAGACTTCGGCAATCAATTTAATTCGCAGGGTACCATAACTCAAATGTGTTTGGAATATCGCGGCATAAGTTTCCTAACATGTCGGCCCAGTAATGCTTAAGAGAAAGTTGGCAAACTCCAGCCATATATCTGGCTACCACGAAGAAATCAGGTAAGATGTCTAATCGATAGTAACTTCCTAGAATTTCGGAACTCTAAATGGGGGTAGCAAAACTTTACGAGCCTGAACTTGGTCGAACGACCTGAAAGGTCGTGATTTGATCGGTATTGTGTGTTAATAATGATACAACTTTTGTGTTATGGTTAAAGTTCCGACAGCATATCGCAAACAAAACTACACAACCTTTTTCGTAATTTGAAAAGTTGTAGCCGTTAAGCGGCCTAGCGTTTTTAGATTAGATACCACCGACACCAACGTATTATTTAATTTAAAATAATAATTAGAAATTGTCGTCAGTTCGCGGGAAGCGAATTGGAGAGCTCTGTGGATATCAGATTTAACATATATATGAAGATGAAGACATTTTCAAATTAAAAAACCAATTGAGAGGCTCTTTTTTTGTCTTCTGCAATTCTGCAAAGTTCTTTGCTAGCTAAATCTATGTCACATTTTTGGTGATGGGAATAACCATTGATAGTGTGTTTAAGACATGCAGATACGTCAGAACATTTACTTTGTGCCAAAGCAGAAGCTGCAACACAAGAACAGAAATATTGTTTTTCTTTCCGCTCCGAATTGTAATTAATTACATCAGCACGTCTTCGAATGATGCCTTCAGGACTGAACGAAATGTGATTATTATCCATTTGATTGCTAAATAATAAGTTATCTGCCGAGGACAAAATATTTTAGATCATTACAAAAATGTAAGCACTATTTGCTTGAGTG